CCTGCTGAGCTGCTGCCCAGGGTGCTGAGAGCAGCAAGAGTCAGCACAGCAGTGGATGACGTTAGCATAGACGGTGCTGTGATATTTATAGTTTGTTCTGCTCAGCTCCCACTCCAACCCGCTGATAAAAACAGGAGGAGACAGCTCATCAGTTGGGCTTTTAAAACTGACTAGCTCTGGTTGTGGGGAATTAAACACTTTCTGCAAAGCAACTTGACCTGATCCATGTGCCAACCTAATTCCAAGTAGAACTCAAGCAGGGTAAATAGGACATTATGGAAGATTCCCCTTCTTTCTTCTAGAAGAAATCCTCCCCTCTAGAAGTTGCACTCTCTCTCAGATAACCAGAGTAAATGAAGATGAAATCTGTCCATGGCATCTGGTGCAAATCTCATTTGCAGGTAAGAAAGATCTGATTCTTTCCTTACACATACATAAGCTCAGAGCTGTAAGTAAGCAGCAAGTGAGAGTCTGCAGTCCTGAATTAGTGACAGAACAGACATGGCATGTCACACATCTGTCATGGGCAGCACATCAGTCAGATACAGCTCTGCATGGTTTTTGCAGCAATCCATAGGACCTTGGGTTTCTGGCTCCCAGTTGCTCCCAGGACACCAGCAGCACAGCAAGAGAATCCCTTGCAAGTCACTCACATCATCCTTGCTCCGACGCAATTGGTTCAGCTCTGTTTTATTCCTACTCAGCTGGGTCTCCAAATCCAGCATCTTGGACTGGGCTGCCCTCTCTCGAGATGTTGCTCGTTCTCGAGTTTGTTCCACCTACAAGTAACAACAGAACAACAACTTTGTTAAAGGGTTGTCTGTGGAAGAATGATTTTTTTCCCTACCCCAACTGCCCACAAAAGCCCTCTCAAATTTAACTGGACACATTCTCATACCTAAGCAGCAGCTCAGTCTTAGAATCTTAGAATGGAGAAGGTTGGAAGGGACCTTAAAGACCATCAGGTTCCAACCTCCCTGCTATGAGCAGGGACACCTCCCACCAGACCAGGCTGCACAAAGCCCCATCCAACCAGCCCTTGAAAATTGTGTTTTGTGGAAATTCCCAACCACAAGCAATTACTTACTTGTCTTTTGGCATCCTCAATGGCCATCTCCAACTGCCTTGCCAAGGAGCTGCATTCACGGGTCTTCTCCTCTAACCGCAGCTGGCACTGGTGGATGGACTCCTCACGTTTTGCTATCACCTGCAGGAATTCTATGTTCTGGGCACTTGTGGTCTCTAGTTTTCTAGGTGAAGACAATAAGGGAAGGAAACCTATTCATTTTAAATGGAGTGTGTTTCAGTCTGCCTTTTTGTCAGGTCCTGACCTGTCTGGGAATAGATTCTATTCCTCCTTGAAAGGTGAAACCCCCTAGAAACACTCCTCCATTTCTCAAATGACAAAGATGGAAAGACATACAGAGTATTCACATACCTGCATTTTCTCAGACATTGTCACTACAAGGAATTTATAAACATGGGTAAAAACACTAATATTCTGTAACTTCAAAATTGTCAGGCTAGACTGGCCAGGAAGCTGGTTTATCTGCTGTGTATTAAGTCATCATCCTTTCTAACATCCATAAAAGGTGCTGCAAAAACCTATAACTCTCTCCAGTGGACAGCTACTGATTACAGATCCTTGTGGGATAAGCAAATGCACAGAGTTCTGGAAGCACATTGGGGACTGGAACAAGACTGAAGCTGTTTCAATCTCCTGAAAAAAACAATGGGAAGAGGATGGAAATGGAAGGTTAAGAGAGCAAAAGAGCCTAATATTTCTAACCTTTCTAGCTCCTCCACCTTCAAGGTGAGCTGCTTTTTCTCCTCCTGGGCAGACTGATACCTCTCTCTTGTCATCTCCATTTTGTCCCCCTGGAGCTCAATCTAAAAATTACAGTAAGTAATTACAGAGTATTCTCTACACACACGACCAATTACCTAAAAACGTGGGCAGCTCTCCCAAAAGCAACATACTCAATTAATAATTTCTGGAGAGTCCCAGAAAAGGTTCAGTGGACAGCAAAGCAAAGCACTAAATATCCATTTTGCTGGTGCTTCCAATTTAATGTATGGAAAAACATGAGAAATGAAAACCTGGGTCTATAAATGCCTGCATGCAGAGTGTAAGCACAGCCAAGCACACACATTACAAGCAGCCACACATACAAGAGCAGCCCACAAAGCCATCAGAGCCCAAAATACCAGGAAGGGTTATAATTCCAAGCCAGGGCAAAGCAGCCAGACTGCAAGATCAGTGCTTGCTGTGTCTTGAGGCATGGTTGTAGCAGTCATGCCTGTCTATAATTGTCCTGCCATAGCAACGCAGTCCTCCTGGGGACAAAAAACAAGGACTGGGAAAACAACTTGAAATCAGGGTGAGAAAACAAGGTTGGGACAGTACTGTCAGTAGAGAACCACAGGAGGGAAAGCTGACAGGATGATGGAAGCAACAGAAGCAAATGTTGGCATTAGCAAGTGTTGTCACTGCTGCTATTCAAGTCCCAAGAGGGTTCTGCACCAAGAGATGAGAAATGTTGCCAAGAGAAAGGAACACTACAGCTAAGCCACTAACTTCTTGCACAGAGACATGGCACACACCTTTATTTTGCAGTGCACGTTTAATCTTTTCAAAAAGAGGTGAGAACAGAGACGAAGTTTGAACCTTCCTGTGATTAGAAATTCAGCTTGGTCCCAGACTTGTGGAGTGCAGTGCTCCAGGTAGTTTCTGCCAGTCCCTTACCCGCTGACGAAGATCTCCAATCATGACAGACAGGTCCACGTTGTTCTTCTCGTAATTCTGAAGCCTCTCCTGACATTCTGCCAGCCTTGTCTCTGTGAACTTTAGAATCTCAGGAAGCTTTTCCAGCTCAGCAAGCTTGCTCTGGAACTGCCTACGTGCCTATGGTCAAAGAAGAGAACATGAGGAACTTTCAAATGTTCATACTGTAAAGAGCAAAAATCTTCTAAACCTCCATTAAGCTTTGCTACTCTGCAACCATGATGACACTGTGTGATGTGTGGACACTGTTGGAGTCCAAAGCCAAGTTTCAAAGCTAAAGTTCAAAGCTTGCTCTTAGGATTTGGCATTCCCTGTGGAGTGAGAATGAGTCAGTATTCTGGATCTTGGGCTTCAATTGTATTAGAAGCTTGCTCTTTTCTGAGGACAGCTGCTCCACATCAGAAAAATGGTGTAGCCTGCACACTTCACTGTTCTAAACCACTATTTCTGCAGCAAAGGACACACTAAGCAATTTCAAGACCTCTGAAGAACACCACGTAGTCAAAAAGAAGCTGCCAAGTGTTTGATAAATTTTGCAGAATGAACAAATCCTGAGAAAAACTAATGGAAAAGGCAAACTCAGATAAGCCTTTCATTTCCTACTCACAGCCATTTTTCTCTGCATTTAGACCATTAATCACCATGAGCATCTACAACACATCAGTCTTTTGAGGAATAGTTACCAGTTCCATCTCCTTTTCCATTTCATCCTTTAATATCTTTTTCTCTTTATCACACTTCTCCAGTTTTGCTGCCATATCATCTGCTTCCGTTCGGATCTTCAACACCTGGAAGAACAAAATAACCACACACTTTGCTATATACAGTTTTCAACGAATCTGCAATGGGGTTAAAAAGTAACTAAAAGTTACTAAAGTAACTAAAACTACACAAGGATCAACAAGTAGTTTCTTACCACAATAACCACCACTCTACAACTGTATTTGGAAGTTCACTTTCTGCTTCTGCTACCTGGATCGTTGGGGCTTTCCATCAAATGTTCTCCCTTCTTGCTTTATCTTCCTACTACCACAATATCCAAAATCTACCCCCCCCAAAAGCAGCCAAGGAACAGTACTGGCCACACTAACAGGCAGAAGAAAGCACCTCACTCTTTTACTTTTTGAAAAGGAGCAGGGGAAAATGAAATAATTAAAACCAGTCTTTTGTTTTGCATTAATCAAGATCTCTGGTGTGGAGGTCAGCTCTTCCTAAAGACCAAATTGTCACCACAATGAGGAAGGCAAGTCTTCCACACCTTGGCATCCAGCACGTGCAGTAAGAATGATGCCATTTGAGATAAAGTCAAGCTAATAGAGACAGAAAAACCCAAACCATATGAAACTGAACAGCCTCCAAGAACAAAAGGTTAAGGCATTACAGAATAAGCCAAAAGAGTTATAGAAGAAAATGTGTTTGTGCAAGGGCTGAAGGTTTTGATAAGATTCCTACCTGGGACTTGTAGTTTTCAATCAACCCTTCATAGTTCCTGACAGAGTTCCTGAGCTGCTGCACTTCCACCTGTGCTTGGTTCAGCCTTTCCTCCATTGAGACCACACCAGCCTGAAAAAGAAAACATCTTCCCTGAAGTGCTTGGAAGTAACCACCATGCCAGCTCTCTGACCTTGCCTAGACTAAAAAAACATACTTCTGTCAGTGTAAGTTGTCAAACCTTACCAGACTTCAGTGGATTGCCCAATTTATACCAGCAGAGCACAGAGGTTTGAGATGTGTGGCCTTTCCACTTGCCTAAATGGGCTGTGCTACCTAGATTAGGACAACTCCGTATCTGGATCATTGCCTAGCTTTTCAAGAAGAAAGCAATGCAGGTCACCTACAAGATCACCAATGATATGAGAGACTACAGAAGAAATATGCCAGGCTTTTTTTTTTTTTCCTTTTCATTCTGGAGATTGCCATTCTCTCTGCATGAGCTACAGTTGTTTGTTCTTGGCCAGCAGTACGAAGATGTAAGGACAAGATTTAAGATCCCAGCAGCTGGAATAAACAGCACTTAGACTGAAGACACTCCTAGCCAAAACATGGAAGAAAGCAGTCCTCCTATAGTGCTCACATCCTTTGTCTCTTCTGAGTATACTTGCCATGTCATACTCAGATTAATTTGAAACTAACTGGAAGCAATGGGTGGAATTCAACTCTGTCCTCAGAGGCCAAACTTGTTCAAATTTCTCCTTTCTTCCCCCCAGACATTTCAGCTTCAAACCCCTAGAACCACTGACCTTGAGCTTTTCATTCTCCATCTTTAAGGCAGCAGCCTCTGCGTTGTGTCGGTGCAATTCACCCACCAGAGCCTCTCTGTCCTCCCGCATCTTGGCCTCCAGGGCTGTCTGCTGTTCCAGCAGCTCTGCAACACGGCTGCCATACAGAAAGGAAGTTAATCCTTAAGTGACAAGAAAGAACAAGACTCAAAACTCCTACCCATTGAAAAATCAGCTTCAGAAACATGGGTTTTCCCCATCTTTTAATCCTCCTCCTCCAGACATGTATGCACACCTACTTGTTACACTGTTCTACTACCTTCATCTCCTTAGCCTACTGGAAATAAACTCCAGTTCTTCCCCTGGAGTTCAGATGTGTTGCCTCCAAGATACACATGGTAAAGAGGTACTTCTCATCTTGTACCTATCTACTTTTTCCTGCAGCAACAACTGTATTGCAATGACACCAACACGTTTCTTTAGCTTCAAAACAAGATTGGCACAAACTATACAGCCTACCTCTTCTAGTCCCTTCCATTCAAACATCTCAAGCAGATCTCAAAAGAAAGATAACCTTAATTCCTACAAAATATTACAAAATGGCAAAGGAACAAATTTTTAATGGTCAGTAAATCCTTAAACACTTTCCTCTGCTATGTCAAGTCAGCAGTAGAAGCCACATCTCTCTCTCTTCATCTCTCTGAACTCTGCTCTAGCCCTTACATAGTGCTGGTTGTGCTTGGTTATTTACAGGCAATGCAATTAAACTATTGAATTTATCAAAATGATGTAATTAAAATATTCGTTTCAACAAAATTATTCAATGAAATTATCCTTGAACTTAGAACTCATCAGCCCTTGTGCTTTTTCCTCCACTGATTGTATTTTTACCTGTTCAGGGTAACGATCTCCCGCTCAAGGTCATTCTTGTCCTTGACTACTTTGTTGTAGCGGCTCCTCCAGGACTCCAGAGTAGACAGAGCATCAGCAATGTAGCTGTCCTGTCAAACCAAAGAAATACAGGAGAAAGAGAGTGACAAACTGGACTTGGGATATGCAGACAGAATGTAAATACTGACATGGGTAAGCATGGTATGTGCAGAGACCTCACTAAGACTTTTAAAATCTGGAGGACAAGGATTTTTATTCTCCCTGATCCTTCAGAGATATGTTTTCCAGCACTACTGTCACCCAACAGACATGACAGCAGTGAAAAAAGAAGCCTCTCTGAAGGCAGGATGAACTAGCAGAAATACAAAGCATGGCTAAGATTCTACTAGTAGCTCTGGTCCCTGCAATTCTAAAAACAAGAAAGAAAAGAATCAAGTGCCATAAAATCCATGTTACCTTCTGACTTGTTTTAGCTCTACCTTTTTGATTTTTTATTTATATCCTTCAGTCATTTTTCATCAGGAAATTCCAGTTTACCTCTAAGTCTTTGTACTTCTCTGCTGTGACCAGTTTCTCGATGAACAACTAATTCAATCCAGCCAAAACCACAAGGCTTGATTTCATTGGCTTTTGTCAACCCTCAGGTAGTTCTACAGGTGAAAAATCAGACCTGATAGTTTATAGTATGATCTAAGTTACTGCATGTCCTGAGTTAAGGACATGCAGCGAATACAGTGACAGCTGAAAGAACTAGATTTGTTCTAAACTTAGCACAAATGGGCCAAGGCAGCAAGACCAAAATAAACCTCATTAGTTGAAAGCAGAGAGTCTCACCAGGGCTGCTACCAGAAGTCAACGACTTAGATGCATGATGTGAAATGAGGTCTCTCTGCCTGTATGATCAGGTACCTTTTCTGCCAGCTGGACTTTCAGTCCCTCCGCATACTCTTCACTCCGCTCTGCCCGATCTTTCTGGGCACGGATGGTTTTCCTCAGGGAATCTTTATCCCAGTCTGCCTTCTGCTTTAGTTCTTTCAGTTGTTCCAGGGCCTGTTCCATCTCTGTCTTATGCTGAGCTTCGCTGTGCTCCAGATTCTGCAGAGGGGGTAGAAAACACAACACATGGAGTAACATCCTTACACCTGCATACCCAAAGCAGCAACTAATTTCCTAGAAACAGTGGAGGGAGTTGGGCATAAACCCCCAAACACCAGCCTGAAGGTACTTATGTTTCACCCACACAATGATAAGTCTTCCTTTTCTTCCAAAAGTCTTATTTTCTGCTTTCATAAGCTGCTGTCTAGTACACTGATTTTCTCTCCTGACCAAGACCTACTTGGGAACATCCTCTTTATTAATTGAAATGCTCACATGTCATAATGTTGCTTTATGCAGCCATGTAGCTTAACAGAATTAAAGCTCTTCTAAACCATTAACATAACAAATGTTCACATCAACAGTATGCTAAATGTAAGACTTTGAACAAGATAAACCAGAACCTTCTCTTCCTCATTCATACTGTAGAAAGCATGTATGTAGAAACATGCATGACTTTGATCAAACACAGGAACTCATGGCACAGCAATTTTGCCAGAAAGCAAGTTAAGTAGTTTACAATCTGCTAAATCAAAGCCACCTTTTCAATAACTATGTGCACCGCATTTGAAACGTGTGATGTGTGTTAGCGGCATAAACATCACCAGCCAGGCTGGAAAGCAAGTTAAGTAGTTTACAATCTGCTAAACCAAAGCCACCTTTTCAATAACTATGTGCACTGCATTTGAAACGTGTGGTGTGTGGCATAAACATCACCAGCCAATATTTCAGGCTGCCAGACACAGAAGAACAGTTGGTGAGTGCTACTTCCCTTGTCAGTCAGAAGAAAAGACAACCCCCAGAGACCCCTGAAAACGTACTCGTATCTGTGTACTCAGACGGTTGTTCTCTGCTTCTTTGTGTCGCAGCTGCGCTTGTAAACGGCCTCTCACGGCCTCCATGGACTTGGAGAGTTCAGATGCTGCCTTTGCCTGGCGCTAAATAGAAGCAAACATGACATGCACCTTGTTTCCTGAGCAAGCTAAAAGAAGGAATATTTCCTGAAATACAGCAATGTCCCATTTCTTCACTGAATGATCTCCAGCCACCTCCCTCAGATGGACCTTCGCAGCTTCAGTGCTCAGGCAACAAATACAGCAATGTCCCATTTCTTCACTGAATAATCTCCAGCCACCTCCCTCCTTCACAGCTCCAGTGCTCAGGCAATGAGTAGGTAGCCATTTATTTTACATCAGATGTTAATTGTTGGCCTGATTTGTTCTAGGGCAAAACATCCTTCCTATCTGATCTCTTCAACTACATTCCTTTTTTTTTTTACTTCCTACACAGAGGAACAGCCTGAAATTTGGCTGCAGGAACTAAAAGGACTTCAAACAGAAAAACGACTTCCAGACACAGAGAAGAGGACTTATTCATCTTTGTAATTAATGTTTCATTAGCAGAAAATTGAATCCACAACACTGTGGGAACAGGTAGCTGTGTCTGTCTAATTTTATAAGCAAGTCAGTCATCTGATCCCTCAAAAAGTAATTGTTGTTCAAATAAAAAAACCCATATTCTGGACTGAGGTTCTACAGACTGGAAGGTGGAGCAGGGAGAGAAAATCAGAAGAAGGAAATTACCTTTTCTTCCGCTATCTGAATGGTGAGATTGTCCACCTCTTCCTCTCTCGACCGAAGCTTCAGCTGAAGTTGCTGGCAAAACAAACACCACTCACATGTTAAGTAACACCCACATTTATGGTGGCAGATGGGGGGAAAGTGGTGTAACTGCCCCCTCCTGAGACCCTCTAATCCAGAGCACTCTCTCTGGTGTCCACAGCAACAGCATCTTCAGCTCTGCAAAACCAGGCTGTGTTCTCCTCAAGCAGCGAGCAAAAAGGGATTCACACACATTTGTAACAGGGCATAGAATACCCAGACCTGACAGGACTATATACTCCACAGACAAGAAAGAGCATTACCTATATCCCAGAAAGCTCTAGAACCTCCCCAAATATAAGTCCTCTTTTCTTATTTTACAGATAAGAAAATGAACAAAACTGGCACCAGGTCACTCGTCCATGCAGTGACAGAAGCAGATACAGAAAACTTATCCTCTTTGTGCTTTTCTATCTCTAAGCACAACTTGATAAACATACAGAAATAACAAGATAATTTCCAAATTGAAGTCTTCTATGGTGACCGTTAGGGATATTTTGGCACTAGATATTTTTTCTCTTCCACCCTCAGTTTTCTTTTTAAAGAAATATTTAGTACAATTCTTGCTTTGCACATTCAGAACTTTAAGAAAATGTAAGCAGAATAATTTGTGCTTAAACATACTAAGAACATGCTTAACTTCTCCTTTATAGCTGAATAGTGTAAATCCTAATGATGCTCTTATGTAGAGGTTTATGTTGTTCTATCCCAATTCTAAGCCCTCCTATTTCAAAGGCTATGAAGATCTATCCATTTTGAAATGCAGGTTGTTCATCAGAGGAGCAATGTAGTGGCTCTAATTACCACAAATGCCAAAATACTTTATATTGGTCTAAAAGGCATTACTGCAATACTTGATGGCTGAATACAAGACAGAGCTTGTCATTTTAGATCTCTCTGCCTTATCAAGAAAAAAAAAAAAAAAAGGAAAAAAACCACACACAAAACTGTGGTTTGCTTACCACTTTCTCTGCATCTGCATCAGCCAGCCTTTTCAGTTTTGCAGCAGGACTCCTTGCTGCTCCAGCTTCTTCTGAGCATTCTTCTACAAAAGAAATAGGCAAAAATACTTGTTAACTACAAAGTCAGTTTTATACGGATTCTTCAAATGGAACTGGGCAAATCAACCATGTCCTCCCAGCTGCAGCAGCAATTCTCAGAAGACATCCAGAAGCATCAAATTTGCTAAGTATTTCACATATTATTGCCCACCTCTGAAAGTTTTTCCACTTCTCAGTCAAAGATTATAATAAAAAGTGTGATGGCAATTTAAGACCTTTCTGAAGTCTCCTGCTGTTCATGGAAAGTCATGTGGAATAACTCAGTCCTTTTATCCAGCCTCAGTGGTGGCTGAAAGAACTCTTACCATCAGTCTGCTTTTGCTCAAGTGGAGTATCAACTACAGGAGGAACAGCCATTTCTTTTCTGTATTGCTCTTAGAAGCAGTACAGGTTTGCTCTGTACAAGCAGTACAGAAGTTTACAGCTTTTTTACAGTTTCTTTACAGGTCCTACAGGCTACAAAAATAAAGTTCTGAACATCCTTAGGCTCCCATTAGCTGAGGCCATATCAGGTCCAATGCAACAGCAGCAGTAACATTTCAAACTAGCCTGATCAGCAGGCACAGCTGTACCCAGATGTCAGCAAAACACAGCAGTGCCTGTACCTTTTAATACAGAAATTTAGATGCTTTAGCAACTTCACAGCAGAAAAGTCAGTCTTACTCTATGAGGTAGGTAGGGAATAAAAAAACCAAAACAACAAACATATCTATCCTTTATGACACAACAGCAGAACTGGGAAATAGAATAAGAAGCTCTCAAACTCCAATTCCTTTTCAGTCCACAGGACAACAGAGCCTCCTGCAATCATCCAAGTTCCAGCACACAGCCCTGCCCACCTCCCGGTTGTGTTGCTCTCTGAGAAGTTCTCGTAGCGTCCGGTTGGTTTCTTCAAAGGTGCTCAGCTTCTGGAGCAGGAGCTCTTTTTGTCTTGTCAATGCACTAATGTCTGAGCTGCTCATGTGCTTCTCCTAGAGGAAAAACAAAAAGAAAAATCAAGAAATTAATTGTTCACATGAAATTAACATATGAAGGTGATACAAGCATGATACAAGCTGATACAAACACCCTTCCACTTTCCCTTACATTTTTCTGCATCAGCAACTGTAACAATTCATTTTTAAGACAGACATAACAGGACAAGGTAGCAAAGGCAAGAACAAAACCAGGACAACACCTACTGTGTTAAGTCTCTCAATTGTATGTTTCAGGACATAGATCTGCCTGGCTGCTGCTGCTCCATCTCTTTCTGCCTCATTCAACTTGGACATCAAACACTCCTTCTCATGCTGCAAGCACTTTTTTTCTAGCCTGTAATGAAAATTCAGCCATCAGAGAAACAAGAGACTTTGACAGCTGTACCAGCCACTATCCAAATACAGATGATTGGAGAGAACTCATAAAACCCCTCAAATCAGAGGATAAAAGCTCTACACAAAGATTTACTCTCCTTCAGTGCAGAAGCTGTTCTGGTAGAACCCAGTAAATAGACACCAGGAGTTTGCTAGGACCACAGCTATAAAACATAAATGTAGAGGGGACAAACCAGGCTTAGAGCAAAGCCTGCACAAACTGCAAACCCAAACCACAATGCTGTGCTTCTCCTGGGCAGATAAGCCACAGCAGAAATAAGATTCCAAATGACTGAACATGAAACAAGAAAGCACACCAAGATACACAGCTCAAAGCTTTTAGCCAGAGCTTGTAGTGTCAGCAGTGTTCACAGAGATTTCTGAAAAGGGAATACACAGTATTAAGTTCCAAGTGATCTTTCAAGTTCCCCTTCTAAAGGGTGACAAAAAATTCCAAGAACATAAGTTCTTCAGCAGTACTGCAACCCAGGGTACGAACTACAGCCTCAAATAACGTCAGCAGTAAAGGAAGCAGGTGCTCTGTAAATGCCACAACTTGCAGCAACAGTGAAGAACTGCAGCCTTCTTACACAGTCAGATCTTTTTCCTCCTTTATGCGCTCCAGGTTGCGCCTCAGCAGCGTGTTCTCGTGTTCTGTTTCCACCAGCTCTTGTGTGACTTCATTCAGTTCGTCTTTCTGCTCCTCAAGGAGACGCTTCGCCATGCGCTGCTGCTCCTCCTTTTTCTGCAGCTTGGCCTGATGGAGAGATTTAAGAGATTTAAACAGAACTTAAGACAAAACGGGTGTTTTTACAGTGATGGCTCTAGGAGCAGTTCACATACTGGAGATGTCTCCCATTGCCCCACTATCACTTTGCAAGATCCAGGGAACCAGGGGACTCTAAATAATCTTTGGCATTTTGTTTCCATTCTCCCAGTCAGGATTAACTAGGAGGTTCTGTGGCAGCTCAGTGTCACTGCTGGAAGTGTGACTGGAGCTGTGAGCAGACCACTCCAGAGCTGAATGGGGCTCAGAAGCTGCCTCCTGCTCCTCACAAAAGACACATGGATTTCATCTGGCAGTTCAGAGCTCGACAAGAGTGGAAGATGTGAAAGAAGAGAGAACACAGAGGTAGGCTGAACTACTGAACCAAATTGTTTCTGAAGAAGACAGATTATTTGAGAGCTGAAGCACAGCAAGACCTTATTAAACGAACAATGTTTTTAAAGGTTTCATAGTAGGGCTTAAGATCTCACTAGGATAGTTCAGCTCTTCTAAACAACTCAGACGTTTATTTTTTTAAGCAAGCTACCAACAGCCTGGGGAGCCTCCCAGCCTCCTCTTGCCAAACCACCAGCTACAAAGCCTAAGCCAGCAGGTCTTGACACTGCCTCTTCACCTCAGTCTTCAGCGATCCCACCACGTTCATCAGGGTATCTATCTTCTTCTCATATTCATTCATTTTGCTGCACACAGCATCTTCCTCATCTGTAGAGAGGTCACTCAGGCGCAGCATTTTGTCTGAGTCTGGAGGTGTGATTTCCAGGCGGTGAGTTGGCCCCTGGGAGAAAAAAAAGAAAGGGCATAATTCTTTTAGTTTTAAATTATAACTTAATTAACAGTATTCCAGTATAAACAGTATCCCAACCCCTAACTCTGCTTGCAATAGTGATGAGGTCACATCACTGCAATAAGGCCAGTAAGGAAAAACACATTTGTAAACATTTACCACCAGGGAAAGGTCAAGAACAGAAAAAGGCTAGAACACAAAAAGAAGAAAAGAATTAAAATTCAATTTGTCATCTAGAAAAAGCCAGGGATACAAAAGGCAAAGTTATCAACCCATGAGAGAGAAAAATGTTACACAACACTACACAAATGTTCTGTGCTTCAGAGGACACCAGAGGAAGACCAGCAGCCTGTCACTGTGCCTCCAGATCAGACCTTGAAGTGGACTAGTAAACTATAGTAAATAAATGTCTGTCTTCCAGAGGCAGAAAGGCATGATGTAGCCAGAGGCTGTTCATTAATTTCTAATTTTTCTCTATTAAAAAGTGAAAAAGATTCCTAGAAAACACTTCAAAAGAATGGTAGGCGACAGTAGCCTTCCTTCAAACCAGCCCAGCTCCCTCACTGTACAGCTAGTCTCTTCAACTTGAAATAAACCTGAAAGTTTGTGTTCAAGGGGAAAAATCAGCCATACCTCCCACTTGGAGGGGGAGTCCCGGACAGATGTTTTGCCTGGGGGTATCCAAGGGGCCTTGGTTTTCACCCGAGCTGTTCGGCTGATGTTTATAGTATCCCCTTTATTCTTCTGTTTGTGCTTCTGCTAAAGAAAGAGACAATAAAATAAATCACAGACTTTTAAAGAACCATTTACAATTTTCAGGGCTGCAAAACCAAATGAAATCTCTTTCATACAAAAATACCATATCGCGTTTCACATGATCCACAGACCAGCTGAGCCAGTAACCACCAGAGGAGGGCAACACCAGTGACAGGGAAAGGCCATTGCACGTTCAGCTGACAGCATGGCAAGATGTAGTAAGTTATTCTTGTTTATCATGTAACAACTCTGTTACGTCACTGGGATACCTGCTCTTGTGCTGTGATGACAGCCTTACCCAGGGTGGAAGATGAAGGCAGGGGGGGAAGGAAGTCTCCTCTGTATGGAGATACAAAAAAACCACCAAAGCACAGCAATACAACCCATTCATGTGAAGAAGGAACAAGCTGGGAGACCCCTTCTCTGTTCCAGATGAAGCTTACAGAAGAGCAGCTAGATCATTTGACAATAGCACCATCAGAGAAAAGGGAGCAGAGCAGTATGACTGGTTATGAAAATCCTCTGAAGTGTTTTCCCTGCTTTGCAGTCAACTAATAAAGATCCACATGTATTTGTATTGAGCTCCAAGTGCTCTAACTGAAGGAAAGTTAGTATTTTTGCCCAATTCTAACCTTAAAGAAAAATAAGGCATTCTATATAATCCCTACAAGCAATTAATTAACAGGAGTCAGTGATTTCACTATCAGGCCCAATCCTCATTATGACATTTGCCATTAGCAACAAACACAAAATTAACAGAGAACTTAGAACAGGATGTCTGCACATAAGGAAGAATGAGCTAGCAACTTCCTCCACCTTTTGAGAACAACTTTGGATAGACACCCCAACTACAAAAGAGGACACAAGATAAATAAAAACTCAGCTTCTGTATTGCCTTCTGCCTGTTGTGGATAAGGCCAGGAAGAGATCCTCTTTGTTGCACAGTTCACCTGACTGGGAAGGTGCTTTAATGCCAGAAGATGGTTTGAATCCAGGCTTTTTTTTTTTCTAAACACATTTACATTAATACAATCAAGATGGCATTTGAAATGTCTAGCTTTCACTTTTCTCCAAACCTTTCCTACAAAAAATATGGATGATGCCAAAGAAAAACCAGGACAAAAATTCAGGAAACAAAAGGAAAAAAAACCTTCCCCAAGCACGTGACACTGAAAGCACCACTCCTAAGAATCATCCACCTGAAAAGGAAAAGTAGTTACATTCTATATATTTTTTCTATATCATACTTAAATCATCTTAAACATAGAAAATGTGTTACTGAAAATTCACCACTGAATATTAATTCAAACCTTACCATTCTAACACAATAGTAAAAGAGACCTTGAAGATTCTGTGGTGCTTCCAGGACCACTCACCTTCCTCTCCTGTAGCCCTTACAAACACCCAGCTACCCACTCCTACCTGGCATTTTGCAGGTGTGGTTTTCTGACCCTTTTTAATATGGACATGGACAGGGGTGTTTTCATCCACATGGACGTGCAAAGGGGGAGATGAGGAACGGTTCTTCATGGCTCTTCTCCCACAAACGGGAAGGGGCAAGACAATGAAAGAAAACCTGTGGATAAGGAAACTGGAAATAACAACACTTCTCTCTGTACCAGACAGCAACAAGGGCCAGCCTTGGTTAGAGTTTGAGCTTTGTTGCAGTAGCATCTGCCAGTTTGAATTGCACACTATTTTGCTGTAAAGCTAGGATTAATACAAATTATTTCTCTGCCTCTGGTATTTTCTGCTTTTAACATGGATGTCAAAGATCAAATACAGTTGGATTGATAGCAGGTGTCTGGAAGAGTCATTGGAGCCCAAAGTCTTAGAGCAGGTCAGCAAATCAAGGGTGCCAGCAACAAACACATGAAGTTACATTTGACAGAGGGAGGGAGAAAAGCAGCATTAATTCAACAGTTTAAAAAAAAAAAATCAACAGGAAACCTTTGTACCTTTCCATCCTAGAACTCTGAACCTGGAAACTCTTATACATACACTTAACTCTTAGTGCCTTTATGAAATTAAACAGATTTTTAAAAGCTTTTGGATCAGAGCATTTATCTGATCTTCAGAAAAAAAAAAAAAAAAAAAAGAAGCACAAGATTAAGCAATATTTACCACAGCACAGAAAAGCTTAGAGACACAAAGTTAGAGTAGTCACATTTGAGTCTGATTTGGATCAGAGCATTTATCTGATCTTCAGAAAGAAAAAAAAAAAGCAAAACCTTAAGCAATATTTACTACAGCACAGAAAAGCTGAGAGACACGAAGTTAGAGTAGTCACATTTGAGTCTGACGCTTTGGTTGAGGTAGTGGTGTTAGGCAACTGCAAACCTTACAAATACCCACCAGCAGCACTAATCTGATTCTTGCAAAAAGGTTTGTGGGGTTTTTTTTGTCAGCTTAGGTGAAGTTACTTACAGTTATTCTAAAGCTTTTAGCTCTTCTTGACGGTCTGCTCTGTAGAGGGACTGAAGTTGTTCTGGTGATGGACACGGGACACCTGACATAGAAATAACAGAATTACCACTAATAGGAATTTTGCAGGCTGAAGAGATGCATCCAAACTAGTGCTCATGCTGAGGAAAACCCAGCACCACACAGACTCCTGTTGCAATGTGCTCAGCAGATGTGTGTGTACTGGTTGGCTCACCAGCAGCACACTCAGAACTGGGCGTCAGCTCCAGCCTGAGCAGATTCTTGCCTGGTGGCACCTGAGGGGCTTAAAGAGGCAAGAGCAAGGAAGGAGAGATCCCCAAAAGACTAATGTCTACTGGGGAGGGATGAAGTGGGGGTACATCAAGCTTAGGGAGCTTACCTTATGGTAACACTCCTGCAGTTTGCTATGTAAGAACAAGTGTTACAAGTAAAGTGTTCCTTGTAATCAACTGCAGGAAGATTTAGTACCATTATTCTGCAAAACTAGAATTTAGATTCCTATTTAGAGCTCACTGATTAATTAGTCAGCTTGCCAAGGTTCATGTAATAGCCTACTCTAAATAAAACTAACAATGCTGCATCTGTTTTTAAAGTGTTAAAGACAAAACACAGTTATATTTCATGTCAGATTTATGAAAATTACACAGGCCAAGACAGTTGTACTTCCCTTAACTGGGAAGAGGAAGCAAGACTCTTCTGAAGGAACAGGATTCTGCAGCCTCTAGCTATGAACAACTCCAAACACCTCTGGGCATTTTAATCCTCATCTTCCCAAGGGTTAAACTCTCCTCAGGACTAAAAGTGTGCATGGGCTACAGAGCCGAGAGAGAACCTGCACTGAGCTTTTGAATCACCACAAGTGAAACTCAAGTGCTGTCACGCAGTCCTGCCTAGCAACAAGTTTAGGTCATGAGTTTAAGTAACTTCTGCCACATCTAGAGGCTTTTCAAAGAACCTGCGGGTACCTCTGGCGGGCAGGGACCTTAGTCTGGTGTCAGTCCGCTCAAAACAGGGTCGGCTCAGAGGTCAGGGCAGGGTTTTTACACCCAGCTGGGGCTGGAAACCCCCTCAGGGTGGGACCATCCCGTCCGCAGCTCATCCCGATGCCTGCCTCGGCACCGGAAGCGTTTTGCGTTGTACATTTAAAGTCGCCTGGATAGTTCCCGCTTTTCCCTGCGGCGGGAAAGAGCACCCCGAGGCAGGAGGCACTCCTCACTGCTGACACGGCGGGGAATCACAGAACCGTTCCGGTTGGAAAAGAGCACGGAGTCACCGAGTCGCGAGCACCACCTCCCTTTTAAACACCCCCAGGGATGGTGCCTCCATCACCTCCCCGGGCAGCCTGTTGCGGTGCCCTGGAACCCTGTGCGGGGAGGAAGTTTCTTCTAACACCCCACCTAAACCTCCCCCTTGAGCCTATTTCCTCTCGCCCTCAAGGCAGGCAGCGAAGGAAGCACCGCCCAGGGGCTCGGATACACCGGAGACCACACGGTGGGCGGGCCCCCCCTCATCTCACAGGGCCCACCCAGTCCCC